ACTTTTCTCTGTGTTATTAGTGCTTTTCTATTGTATGTTTAAAGTGTGTGAGCCGGCTACCAAGAAGTTCGCTTCAGACCAATATGTGCAAAAGATAACTTACTCATCACAACAATATAGTGTGGGAGTGGGGTGATTTGGTGAAGCCAGATGGAAATTCATTTGCGTGTGTGTGTGTGTGTGTGTGTTTATTTATTTATTATTATTATAAATTTCATGTTTCTGTATTGTTATATACTTGTATTGTAATACGGTGTGTGTTATTGCATTTTATGTGCTATATTCTTTGGTTACTGTGACATTTATAATTTTAGAAAGGAATGACATTTCTTAAAAGAAGAGAGTTTACCGAGCTCCCCTACCCAATGAGATCCTTGTTTAGACGTGGGGATGGAGATGAGGATGAAAACCTGACCCAATCGGCTCTGTTTTCGCTCAAGTGGAGCTGCTGAGATTAATTTATGTAATTTACGTTTAGGTATACCCCTAGTTAACATCTGTTTTCTGGACCCCTTGTGGAGCTACGAGTGTTGGTATAGTTGTAAAATTGGAGTTTTACCACAATTACTATTTATTTATTTATTTTTCAGTTTGGGAGGTAAATTGTTCTATCTCTATAAACAGCTATTTTCTTTTATTTTAATTTTTAAAGCATGCTAAGCAATTTGACTCTCCAAACTTCATGCAGCTACCCAAGGAAATGGTGCCAGACCCAGACAATATAGAGTTGTGGCTGAAGGTTAGTGTTTCCTTTTCTACAACCTTCTTTATTCGTGTCCTGTTTTTTGAATTGGTCACCACTTCTGATGTGTTCAAATTAATTTGCTTCACCATAGGTAGATGGAGAATTGAGGCAGAAAGGCTCAACCAAGGATATGATATTTAAGCTCCCATTTCTCATCAGCCACATAAGCTCCATTATGACACTTCTTGAAGGAGATGTAATACTAACAGGTAGATGGTTTACATCTGCTTCTGAGGTTTTCCTCCCCTTGCCTAGGAGTCACAAATACTTTTGACGTCCAGCTAAACACGTTTTGGCACTGTTTGTGCAGGCACTCCCAAAGGTGTTGGCCCAGTTAAAGTAGGTCAAAAGATAACTGCTGGCATAACGAACCTCCTGGATGTTGAATTCAATGTTGAAAAAAAGCAGAAGCAAGGAAGCTCTTGAGCTGATTGAATTTTCTACCAGGTGTTATTGCATTTGACAGTTCCAGCAGGAAAAAGAAAATAATTTCAACTGAAACCAGAGAACTGGAGTGAGCATGGATGCAGACACGAAGATGTTGCAGTCTTGGTTAGCATAAACTCCCAGTTCAATTCAAGGATCTTGCAAGGCGGTAATTAAACATGTCCATTTGTTTCGTTCTTCATGTTGGGAATGAATGGAGTGATAATAAGGAATTAGTCGTAGAAATAACTTGGGATGGCAAAAAACTTTTCCACAGTTCTGAATTTGGCACGCAAGATGTCAGAGGTGCAAAGAATTTTGGTTCTCTTTTATTTTATTTTAAAACAGTAATGCTATTTACTCGTACCCCCTCCCCAGAAAAATTTCTTCCATTTGTAATTTGGGTTACTTAACAAGGAAGAGGACTACAGAAATTAGTGTAAGAAGATATTTAATATGCGGAAGCGAAATATAATTTTATGTTTTAACAACAGAACAGATTTTTGTATTATGTTTTAACAACAGAACAGTAATAAAAAAATCGTTGCATTATCATACATAATTAACCAGGAAAGAAAAGAGAAAACCATGCATCACAGATTCACAATGCGTATTTACATAACATAAACCCAGAGAACAAATAAGAACCATGCTTAACCTGGAAATTGCAGAGAAGCAAAATCAGCTCACCAACGGCAACAATCACCGTTTTTGTAACTACACTTCTTGAGCGCTTTGGTGGGTTCCGAAGTCCACACTTCCACTAAGGTTGTCCTCCTCGTCATCATCTTCATCAATCTCCTGGTCTGGCGCCTCAACGTTCTCATTGTTGGAAAAATGGCTCACATTAAGTATGCAAGTGAAGGAGGAAGCGACCGGTCGCTGGGTATTTGCGACCGGTCGTTTTGAAGCAGATTCGAAGTCTGGAGGAGAAGCTGGAAGTCGCGAAAAGCGACCGGTCGCAAGGTGCAAGCGACCGGTTGCCTGCAGTCAGAGTGTAAAGCGACCGGTCGCCAGTAACGGGCGACCGGTCGCCAGGCTACTGTGCTGTTTTCTTCCACGCGTTTTTCAAGAGGCCTTCACATGTATTGGTTCCCTACCTAATCCCTCGGGCCTCTAAGGTGTGTTATGGGTTCTAGGAGGTCTAGCAAGGTGCTGGAAAAGCTGGAGCACCATTGAATGAGGATAGTTGACTTGTTTCAAAGAGTACCTACCCTATAGCTCTAGATAGGGTGGCTGAAGTTGCAGCTATCTATGCCTAGCCTTTGTTCTGCCCAAGTTGTGGTCCAAGTCTGGAAACCAAGGGGAGAACGTGGGAGGAAAAGATGGAGCCTAGCCTTTGTTCTGCCCAAGTTGTGGTCCAAGTCTGGAAACCAAGGGGAGAATGTGGGATGAAAAGATGGAGCCTTCTCCTAAGTCCAAAGGCTTGTGTATTAAAGGGAAGAGGAAGCAAGACAGCAAGTGTGGTTAATCT